TTTAACCAGTCCTAAGTCTCTTTAGAGTTAGCATGGCCCCCCAAACCATCACTCATATATTCAGGACATAATACATTAAAAATAAAGAGGACAAAAAGCCTCTTAAATGACCAGAATTAATACAAGCAAACATTTTGCTTTCAGGTTTCCCAGCCAAAACCAATAATCTTTTCTTTTTTTTTTTTTGTGCACACATAGCAACAGTGCGATTTGCAATGGACTTTAGTTCTTCTTCAGTGAGAGAAAACTAATACCCTACCTTTCAGGAAGCGGGACACATCTTCCAGCTGGGGAATATTGTCTTCCCTGTACCCACAGTATTTGGTGAGCAAGGGCAAGTTTTTAAGGTACTCTCTGCAGGCATGAGTTGGGTAAAGCTTGTTAAGCTCTCGGTATACGGTCCCCCAAGTCTTGATCTCCTCCTCTGTGAATTCAATCTTGGGAATTGGGTCACCACTACAAGGAGATGAGGACAAAGGGACATTCCTTGGTAAATGGCTTATAAGGATGACTCATTTACTTACTATTATTGTTTAACATTCATATGGCTGGGACACCTGGTCAAGCTTAAGACTTCATTACACTGTCAAGTACACGAGTGAGATCTGGTGTATGCCCTGGAGAACTTTTAGGCCTGCTCACTCTTCCACCTAAATCAAGATAGCAATCTTTGCATTGATTTCACAGGGGTCTGAAAGATTCAGTTGTGTAAATAGTTTCTTAAGTGTTCAAACAGTAACTGCAAAACCTTTTCTTTCGGGAGCTGAGAACACATCTTCTTCCCTGTAGTATCTCTCTGTCTGTATACAATAAATTTAAAAAATAATGGAAAGTTATTTTAGGAAAAGATAATCCCCTAAATTAGCAGCACAATAAGTGGAAGCAACGAAACATGCATGTTACATAAAAATCATGCTTCTGTGCAGAGGAGACAAGTGTCTGTCTGAACATACTGACTGTAGTCCATCTCTCCTAACCAACCCTTAGGATCTCGATTAAAGTAGATTAGAGCAAGGCTGTGATTTAAAGGCTGCTGAAAGCAACTGGAGTGTCATGGTAGCCAGCATGGCTACTGCTTTCCCAAAAAAAATCTGTTAACAACACATCTGCAGTAACTGCCTGCATGCTGTGGTACCCAGCTGCATGAACACAGAGAGCCATGAAGTTCTAGATATCTGCCATTTCTCGGTCATTCCCAGTTGAGGAATTTGTTGTCAATATTCACACAGGCAACAGAAATGCAAAAAAAAACATGTTCAGAAAAAAAATTTTTAGCACTGGGCTATGAAACTCCTCCAGCTTTAAGAGCTCCCTCCCCCAAGCAGAATCTCTAAAGACAGAAGCTCTTTGAATTCCATTTCACAGAATTCTTATCTACACATCGCGTGCTCTATTTTAAACCAGGAAATAAAACTCAAGTATTAACGTTTGTCCAGAGAGTTTATACTCAGTGGTCAATGGGCTGTCTAGCAACTTTTCCTCCCTTTCCTCTCCTTTGCAAAGGAGATCAGCCCTGGCAGAGTATGCATGTCCTGGACAGACAGCTGTGTAGATGTGCTGCCCACCCTCTTCCTTTGCTGCACCCACTTCCAGAAAAGGGGGGAGAGAACCCAGTGCCTTAACACACCCCACTGCAGGAAGCCCATGCTGACATTGCTGCCCACTTGGGGATCAGTGCTGCCACAGATACCACAACGTCTATGCAGCCATGAGCTGATCCTCAGGCTGACTAGAGACCCAGGAAGCTGTAAGGTGGCCTAGATCTACCTTTTAATCTTGCATTACCTAGATCAACCTTTAAATCTTGCATTAAATCTCCCTTCGCTTTATCCTTCTAGCTCTGATTCCTGAGACAAGTATGTCTCAGTGAGATCTGAGCCCATGGAAAATGAACCAGTCCACACTGCTGCTATTTCAAAGCACCCAGATGGCTTTTTCTGGAAGAAGTTGAACTTACTGCTTGTAGTTCATAGCCAAGTCTGCAAAATACTTTCGCCTCTTACGATAGACATTGTCTTTGAAACCCTGGGGAGAGTGAAGAGGAAAGAAAAAGCAAAGTTAAATGGGTCTTCAAGCTGTAGTAAATAAGTTAATTTAAAGCAAGATACTTGAAAGTTCTTCAGTGGTAAATATAAAAGTATACTGTATAAGATGGAGAGGAACCTCATAGCTGTAGATCAAAATGTTTATTAGCTGTAAAATAAGCAAATATGCCAATTCAAAGCAAACAGAGGTTTTATGCATGCACTATATATTCAGAAGACAAAGGCTCCTTTTAGTCACATTAAAATATATATATCAACTTGGTCACTTTCTTGCTTATGTTAAATTACAAAAGAAATTGTCCATTTGTACTGTGCAAGTTCTAATTAGTTTGTTCCACTTGTAGTAAGGAAGAAATAGAGAGGAAAAACCAAGCCTGTCTCACAACAGCATTTTGGTTTTTTACTTATGCGACTACTCAGGGCCCAGCCCTCTACATGAGGCAAGCCTCACAGAAAGGCATAGGAACCACATTCAGTATCAGCCTTGCCTGAACTAGGAAAAGACATGAAAACCCCAAGAGAAGGTTCCTAGACCCCCAGAGACACTGTGGAGGGGAACGAGAGAGAGAAGGAAACACCTCATGTTTTAAAAACAAGTTCCACAATGTACTTTTCACTGAGCACTGGGCACGGAAGGGGTAAGATACTTACTGGATGGTCAGCATCCAAATCGGACCCATACATCAGCACTCGGTTTGCACACTTATCCAAATCTGAGATCTTCTTTGGATACCAGGGAATGTTCTCCATCTCTATGGAACGCATGGAATCCACAAGTTATTAATAATGCCAAGCATGCTGAGGGAGGAAATGCTACTTTCAAGTCTGGTTATGGCGGTTACAGGCAAAATCTATAAATTAAAAGGGTTACAAACAGGACAAGGGAGCTTGCTGCCTATCTGGCACCAGCCTCCAGTTCATACTTCCTCCTCTGTCACTGCCAGTTTGCCCACAGACTGCACAGCATACTCCAAATCAGAAGATTTGGGAAGGAAACAGTTAATATGGGTTCTCAGTGGCCCTGACTGCTATTTGTATTAATGTTAGAGCAGCAGCTAATGGCTGCCATGGAGCAAAGGCCTCCTTGTGCTCAGCCTTCCAGGGCACAAAGCACGTAAAGGAGCAGAGAACTGATTTTCATGTGGTCCTAGAACAGAGTGGAGAAGGTTAGAGTCCTCCCATCTGCTTTACTGGCAAGAAATGCTGCTCCGTGCTTATGTGCTCCAGAAACATCAGGCTTAACAGAGGGGTTTGGGAGGGAAGAGGAAAAGAAGGAGGCAGCTTCAGCCACGCAGCCTCAGAGAGACGCATAATTAATTTCACTACTGAGATTTTTTGGGGTTGATTTTTTGGGGGGCAATTTTTGGTGGTGTTTTGTTTTTTAGTCAAAAAGTTTTTAACAAGTTTTTGGCACAGCTGTAATACACTATGACAACCAAATGATTTTTTTCTTTCCTAATGCTCCTCAGTTTTCTTAATAAGGATGGAGAAAGTGTCCAGATTGAGATTCTCCTTACCTAGAGCTAGAATAAGAAATTTTTACCCAGCAGACAACAGATCTTTCCTTTCCAAGCCTACTAGCCTGAGCCAAGCATGGTGGCTGAGAAAAATATGAAGCTGACTTTGTGCTGCCCTGAGTTCTGAGCATTTCTTCATCTATGAGCACATATAAACAGGATTTGAAGCATCTCCAAAGTAAAAGCCACCTTCTCTTTCATACTGATATAAGCAACCACATACGATGAAAAATATTTTTAAAAAGTCTTTAAGACAAGAGCTGCATGAGGAAATGGCAGAAGCTATCTCCCACACTGTCCAGTACCTGAATTTAACTGGTGTACATCAGCATGACACCTCTGATGTCATGGTGTACCAGCCCAGCCCTCATTCAGACTTTGCCTACACAGTGGCCTGCATCAGTCTCTGCTGGTGCAGGGACCCCCACTTGCAACAGTTATACTGTGCTGAGAAAAGCCAGGAGTGCAGGTGGCCAAACAGCCAGCTCTTCTAGAGGACACCAGGCAACACAGTCCTGCTCGTGTCAACCAAACCATGCAGTGATGGCACAGAAATACAAACCTGACAGCTACCCATAGCTGTCCAGAGCTACCCACAGCACTATGTATATGCATATGTGCACATATGGACAAAGTAAAAAGGCTTCAAATTAGCACACTGAGAAGAGCAGTAATGCCTCCTCTTTGCCAGCACTGCCCTCTGTACTTACCATCTTCCTGCACATTGAAATGCTCTGCTGGGTTCATAGAGACGATGCTGACGTGGGATTTGAGGAGCTGGAAGATCTCATTCAGCTGCTCTCTATTACTGTCACAATCAACAAAGATTTCAAACTCTGAATTTCGTCTCTTGGATTTCCGTGACTCAATGTGCACCAGGTTCACATGCTTCTCCTGTTTTGTAAGAGGTAATGTTTTCAAACGGAATAACTAAAATCTAAATTTTATTCTTCAAAAACAAAAGTATTCTGCTGACACAGCATATTCACCATCTATGTGAAGTTATTTTAGTTAATTGGCTCTCCTGGTAGTAGCCTGCTTTTTGATAGTGGTGAAACTGATTTTTAAAAAGCCACCTATTCAAAAGAAAATGAAAGACTGAGTTCTTTTGGTTTCATTTCATTGAAGAGAAACACACTAAGGAGGTTTAATTTCACAGACCTTTTTCTTTCATCCCTCCCATAGGAAGTTAATCAGTGACTTGGTCTAGGGAAATCCACAACAATGCCAATCACATTGCCATGTAATTATCTCACAAGCAAAGGATTTAAAAGCAGTCATTTTTCAGACATGAACTTCACTTCTCTTTTATTTGAAAAATGATTTAATCATACATCTTACACCAGGATCATGCAGGAACCCCCAGGCTTAGACAGCCAGGGCCAAATGACAGCACAGTGACAGTGCCACGTTCCCTGCAGGACAGCAGGGAAAGTGAAAGGAGCACAGTGGGACTGCTGCACTACCTCTGCCACCTTCAGTCCAGCCAGACAGAGTGACAGCAGCACTGCAGGCAGCTCATCAGCACCCCAGGTGTGTACCATCAGCAGTGCTTCACGTCCACTTCTTATGAGCAGCAGAAACAATGAGTGCCAACCTTCTTTCATGAAGGAACAAGAGGAATCTGTTCCAATTTTTAGTAAGTGCAGAAGAGTTTTCGAAGACATTAAGCCAGCATTTAACTTCTGAGGCATAAGTGTACCTTTGTGGATAATTTTAGGTGCAAAGTGGGAGGCTCATTAGGAATCACATCCTTAATAAATGGATGTAATTAATTCCACTGTGTGCCAAACCTACCTTTAAAATAATAAACAAAAAGTAGATCTGCTATAGAAATATAATTATTACATACCTGAAAGAGTTTTAGAGCTTTTACAAGTCCTCCGACTTCATTCTTCAAGGAAAAAATGATGGCAGTTCTTCCCCTTTCAGGCACATGGTCTTTGTTCTCTTTATTATCTTCAATCATCATGTAGTTGGACTTACTTAGCTAAATGCAAACAAACAAGGATCTGAATTACAAGGAATAGACGCTGAGCAGGGCTACTCCAGGCAGAAAAGAAAAAACCCAAACCCCACACTTGTACATTAGTTATTAGCTGCTTTCCCAAGTGCAGACATTGTTCTTAGTGTAACATAATCCCACTTGGATGATGCTGCTGTAGAAGCAATGAAGTATCCATTATAAATACACAGTGGACTTTGAAGACATAAACCATAGGGCTGATTATTTGACATGATTTATAAAAAGCAGGGTGGTTTGATTCCACACTCAGGATCACTGCCTTCAGCTCATGAGATCTAGTATAGCTGCAGGTAATATCACAAGGTGCACAGCTGGGACAAACTACACGTACTGAAAACTTGTGCTCTTATCGTATATTTTAGTAGTTTAACCTCATGCTTGGGGTCGGGCGATATAATTTATTAAGCAACACTTCTAAGAGGCAAGCAAATAAAACACAACACCACACAGAGTATCCTTACACTACATTCTACCAGTGACCTCTAACATAAGTTTGAACAAATTGCAGAAGAGAAATCCAGATGCCTGCTATGCCAGATGCGCATCATTTGTACCTTTAACCAGCATTAATCTTTGGCTCTCAGTACAAAAATGGACCGCTAACAGTTCTGCATTAATGCAGCAACCATGTTGGTGCAGGACCAGAGCGAATGCTAACGCAAAAGCAATTCCTCCAGTTTCACTTTATTCCCTATCAGTAACCGAGCTCTAATCATGCCTGACACCCTTCCTTCGTGTGCTATCACTCGCCAGCCCTTAGGAGGGTATGGTGGTGAGGAATCATTATTGCGCTGTATTAATTGACCTGGCATCAACATGACTTGCCTTAATGAAAGCACACAAACAAAAGGGGCCTTCCAAGACCCTCGTTCAGAAAGCTAGTAAGTGTTTTCTGGTTAAAAACTGCTCCTCCTGAAGCCCATAGCAGTCTCTTCCCTTTCTCCCCTAGGAAAACATTACTCCCCATGGGATGGATACTTAGTGTTACATGCTGCGGCTCAGTTCTTTGTATCGGGAGGTATCCAACATTTAAAATTACCCAAAAATATTCGTCTAGAGGAAATTATATTGCAAAGCTGTAAGCTGAAGACCCAAACACCTTTTAAACGGGTATTTGTCACAGATTGCCATTCCCGTACTCCTTACACAGCCGGCTGCTTCCTCGCAGCCCTCCTCACACCCTTCCTAGCAGGGAAGGATGAAGACGCATGACCCTACAGGTGGCTGCAACTCAGCATCACCTTACAGGCGCATTTTTCAGCCTCACCGAAGGTCTTCGCAGGAGTTTTGTTCTAACAAGAGACCCAAACCTTTGCCAAGCGGTGTTTTGTTGTTGCCCTCTTGGCTTTTTTCCTCCACGTGCCGTATCGCCGACCCGTGCCAACGCGTCTCCCTCTCCCCCATCCCCTCCAGAAGCGCGGGCCGCCCCCAGCCCCGCTCGGACCTTCGCCCCAGGGCAGCACGGCCCGCCCGCCCCGCGCCGCTCACCTGCCCGCCGGCCTCCCGCGGGCACGGCGCCCCCTCCAGAGAACCGCCGCGCCGGGGCACGGCCTGCATGGCGCCCTGCGACGGGATGGGCAGGGCCGGCCGGGCGGCCGCTTTATGGAGGGGAGAGCCGGCCCTAATCCCCCCTCGTGGGGCGGAGGAGGAGGCGGGGGCGGGAGGGGCCGCCCGGCGAGAGATGCGGGAGCCCGCCGTGGTTTCTCCCTCCTTCCTCTCCGACTCCCTCATCGCACCCTGCGTGCGCCCGTGCCCGCTGTTTGCTCTCAGGTCAGACGAGGAATGAGGGGATTTACGCTACACAGTAGAAGGCAAAGCGCTCCCCGGGAGAGAAACCCCTCAGAGGCTTTAGGGGTGTAGCCCTCCAACGCAGCAGGACTGAATGAGCACGGCCCTAAGTTGCTTTGAAGCTGGAAAAGCCAACCTGTTCCAGCTGGGAGTGGGATACATCTCGTGACCGGGTGCTTTGATTTTCCCTTCCATACAGCGGATAGTACTGCATTTTCTTTATGTCTTAGCTCTACACCAGACATTTCCCTTCCTGCTTGCTGAAAGGCTCTCCCCATCAAACAAGCTGACTCAAAAAGCAAACAGTTCGTATCGCCTTTACGCAGAATCTTAAACATATGAGATACCATATTCATCACGAATCTGCAAACAAGGCTCAGGAAGGTGCTTATGATTGGTGACTGCTCCACTGGCTCTCCCTGACCCATCACACACAGCAACAAGGACCAGCATCACTCTGCTATGACTTCCTGGCATTACATCCTGGGTAGCCCTCCAGATGCAGGTGGGCATCTTTTATTGGCTGGGTGCTCCTTGACAGCAGCCAGCTCCATTGCCCCTGCCTTCTTTTCTATCAAAATGCTGAGCTCATCCCTCATAAAAATTTCCAAAGACAACACAAAATACAATTCTCATTTCCTCAGAACTGTCAGAAGACACTTGAGTTCAGACCACTTTAACTGTGCTTTTTTCTACAACAGCTGCTGCAAGGCAAGCGGCGCAGCAACAGCAGAGGAAATTTAACCTAGCATGAGAACAGCTCATTACATAAAAAGATAACCAGGGCACCCAGAATCTCGTGGAGCTGATTAAACTCAGCTCACTAGTTGAGCAAGAAGCCCTCACTGACCACAGCTGATGCTCTACGATCTGAAAAGGCAGAAGCATGCAGCATGAACTGACTCAATTACAGCCTGCCCTCGCTGGGTGCTCACTGGAGCCTGCTCTGCACTCCACAATAGGTTTCCAGGTCCTGTGAATGCACAGATCACTTGGGAGTAGAACTGTGTTTCACCCAAAAGCCAGCAGCATAACCTACTGTGTCAGAACAGTAGCCTTGGCCCCCATGACAGAGAAGAGCAACATGGCACAGCAAAGCCTGCAGCAGGTAAGTGTAGAGTGCAGTGCAAAGAACATTACCACGTTTGCAGGTGCTGCCCATCTCACCTTAGGAGGTAAAGAGTGACCCAGAAAACATCTGAACTGGCATAGAGCTGCTGAACAGGAGCATTGACACAGAGAGAGGCCACAGGCTCTCAGCAGGATGTTAGAAGCCTTGAGGGACCATGCAGCAGGAAGGAGTTGGGGAGGACAAAGAACTTGGGGCGCAGGGAAACAGCCCTCTCCTTGTGTCAGAGGAGAAGGCAATACTGTGATTTTTATTTTCGTTTTTTTAAGCCCTCCCGAGATTTCTCACATATAGCCTCTCATACAGACAAAGCCCTCCAGACGGATAATCGGCACCTGAGGATCAAGTGCAGGTCTGACCCTGCTCACAAGTGGGTCAAGCTGATCATCGTTTTGCAAGGCAACGTTTTGCAAAGCAGGGCTGCCATGAGACCTGTCACACTGACACCGAGCAACTGCGAATGCTCCAAGAGCTGGCTTTCAATTACATTATCCCCTCGTAATTCCTCCTGTTAAATGAATCCTCCTTTCCTCAGCAGCCTCTGGCTCCAAGTGAGAGGGGGTGGCAGAGGGAGAAGTCCCATGCCTTCTTGGCTCTTCATGGGAGTAGCTCCAGGAACTCAGTTGTAGATAAATGCACTGAAAATAATTAGGCTGACAAGAGTTAAAAGAAGCTGTTGCCCCTCCAGACCTTCCCCTTGATAGTAAAGAGACTTTTCTTTTTTTGCTGTTCTGTGAAACAGACCAACATAAACCTTCAGCGCCACATCTCCTTTCCTCCCATGGGGAAGAGCTCTCCACAGGACATAGATAAAATAAGCAGGGACTCAGCTCAGCTGTTACATCTTTCCAGACACAGGACAAGCCTTCCATTCACCAGCCATGGGAGAAAACTGGCCTATGGAGATTAAAACAAAGAAAGAAAACAAAAACCCTAATGCAGTGCAGGGGTTCTTGAATGCTCCAGTGCTAGGGGAAAGAGAGACAGAATGAGAGGGTGATTTTGTTCAACAAAACCACTCATCGGAACTGATGTGGCAAGAGCCAAGGAAAAACAGGAGTGAAATGAGCTGCAGATATTAATCTTCTGCTGAAAGATGGGATTAACAGCTTGGATGCTGCAGCTCTGAAGGAGAGAATCAGTGAACCCTAAGCCTCAATCCCATCAAGGTCACCAGTGCAAATTACCCCTTCTCCCTGACTGGCAGGAGAAAGTGCTCTAATCTCCAGCGTGGTAATTTCATGGCCTTACTGCTAGGATAGAAACATCTTCAGCCATCCTCTGGGCTTCACTGGCCCAGCCATCTCCCTTTCCAACCAGAGCATTTGCCTCAGGCAATGTGGCCACTTTATACCTTTTTCTGAGAAAGTTATAAAGTTTTAAATCCCTGAACAAAACAGGTTTAATACGATCTAATACTAAGTCTGCCCTTACCATAATTACCTTCTCCAGGAAAAAAAAACAAAACACATTCTAATCATAACCCTCTGTCTTTCCATTAATTAACAAGTCATATCCAAGAATCACAGAGCGTTTAGGTAAGCACGATGGAAGTCACAGGGAAGAGTGAAGATGAACATCATGCATTTCTCTGAAACTATTTAAAAAGTCCTAAATTTGCAAGAACTAATAATGAAGAGAGAGAGTTCAGTCATTTCCTGAAGATGTCCACCAGTCATGGAATGATAAAGTGGTTTGGGTTGGAAGGGACTTTTAAAAGCCCCAGCCTGTTCCAACCCCCTTGCTGTAGTCAGGGTTGCCCCCACCAGCACAGGCTGCTCAGGGCCCCATCCAGCCTGGCCTTGAAGGGGCATCCAACCTTCAGGGATGGGGCATCCACACCTCTCTGGCAGCCTGTGCCTCACTTCCATCTGAGGAAACAATTTACTCTTGACATCTAACTTCAATCTCCCCTCTCTTAGTTTAAAGCCACTCCCCCTCATCCTATCTCTATCAGACCGTGTGAAAAGTTGTTCTCCCTCCTTTCAAGTGCTGGAAGGAGTCATTTCTTTTCAGTTTAGCTTTTACAGATCTTCATATTCTGCTCGTGTTTTATAGATGCTGTCATGTCCTGGTGCCTGAAAATCTAACTCATTTTTTTCTACTTGATTTTCATCTTTACAAAGCATTGATCATAACAACTCCTAACCAGCAGCACTCATTTCCATTCACTTTCTGATCTGATTCTCAGTATCCCAACCGTTGACTTAAAAGAGAAAATTTATCATTATGTTTCACATCTTTTTTTTTTCATTGCTGGGAGTTGAGCAGATGCAAAATGAAAAAACTTTTCAATATTGTCTGAAAATGTACAGATCTAAATCCTCAGCTTTCAACAGGGGAATTCTCCCATTTGCCCCCTCTTACATGAACCATACAAACCGCCCCCAGGGCAATTTCACCCAACCTTTTACCAGCACCATGCACTGTACTTGGAGTGGTTGCCAAGAAGCACCCAGAATACCGATCAGCTAACCCTCCTCCTTACTGAATCCTTGCTGAATAATAAAACATTTGATTCATAGGCTGTTAAAAAAAAGAGAGAGAGAGAAATTATATCCAGATATAATTAAAGTACACAATTAATGAAAACATTTACAAAATACCCTTTTCCAATGAAGAGTGTAAGAGCCAACCGGGTTAATTAGCTGCCCAGAGTGATGCAGCCAGCTGTAGTATCAGCTAGTTAGGATGCTCTTGGGGCAGGGGAGAAACCACATTCTGCCATGTTTTCACCAGTGAACATTATCAATAATTTTCAAACAAAATTGTTGTCTGATTGGGAACCAAAATCCCGAAAGAGCTCTCTGTGCTGCTTTTGTTGTTGTTTGGTTTTTTAAATCTGCTCATTGTTGGCCAAGCGATCTCAGGTTAAATATGTAGGGAGTGACAGATCTCTGGGAGAGCACAAGTCAGCAAAAATTCCCCTTTTTACTATAGAAAACAGCTTCAGTCCAACCATAACCATGAGCCAGGGCTGGGGAAAGCCAAGAGGGAAACTTGGCACATCGATCTACGTACTGCAACTCTGCACGTAGCTTAGAGAGGATGAGTAAATACTGCATTTCCAGCAGCATGACCTGAGCATTATAAATACCATTCTGCTTGTGGGCAGCACCAATTCTTCCCTGCTGGTACACATGGTGAATGGTCAGCTGGATGGTAAGGCTCACACCTCCACACCCCTTCTACAATACCATTTAGGACTGCTCACAGCAGGTGGGTGGGCAGTGCCCTGTACTTGAGCAAGGGGAGCAGGGCAGTCTCAGGGCACAGCAACTGAGTGCCACCAACTGATTTCCAGACAGTCCTGTGGTGGTGACAAGGCAGGTCTGAGGCCAAGCTGGACCAGAGAGGGTCAAGGTCAGCACAGCTTGTCTGCAATGTGTCTCAGGCTCTACTTTTTCATAATTTCTACTGAAAGACCTCCAAAATTATCCAATTCTTTCACATCACAGGCAAACACCAAGTGAAACAGTCAAAAGCACAACTAAGGATGATGATAAGAGAAGCATCTGAGTGTTTGTTAACCTCAGCCAGTTGGCCTAATTAGTATAACAGCAGAATATTTTGCATTCAAAATGAGGTGGAAAAAGCTAACAAAGGAGAAAGCTTTGTACCTCTTAATGATATGAGTAAGCACAGCTCAGAAAGCGATTCGGCAGGCTTTGATCCACTCAGAAAAGAGA